ATATATATATATATATTATATTATCGCCCGCAAAGTATATCTTTGTCCGTGCTTGTCTTCGATCCTCATGCACGTCGTTGCGTCGACACGTCAAAGTGTCAGTTGAAATTGCACGCGCGCGTTCAAATACGTGAGCGTGCACAGCGTGCACTGTGAGCGGCAGCGTGCGTGATCAAGCGGCGCGAAATCGGCTGCGAAACGGACACGGTACGCAGTTTCCTCCGAGAAGCTGCAAACAAGTTTCTCAAGCGGGGATGTTAACGTATAATGCGGGAGGGAATGCAGCGAGTGTGACGATTCGACGATGTTAAATCCCAAACCCAAAAAGGTGAGATCAAGGAAAAATTCCACGCGTCGGGGATGCTCCTTAATTTTACTCTTTTCTTCCCACTTTTCGAGATATCGTCAGTACCACAGTTGGTCAGTACCAGTTCAGGATACACGCGCCCGCGCGCTCTCTCTCTTTCAGTGACCGAGTTATATACGCGTCTTCGGAACTTTATACATAGACTGTCTTCTCGTATAGAATGAAGATGCTTTCGAGTCACCGGGGGTTTATATAGGCTGGGCTAGCCGAGGGAGGGGAAAAAGATTTAGGCAGAGAGAGAAACAAGGAAAGAGAGGAAGAGAGTGAGAAACGGAGAGGGAGACTAATAACGAGAGAAAAGAAGAGAGGGAAACTATGCTTAGATAGTTATAAATTACGTTAGTTATAAACTACATTAATAATTGCAGTGCAACTATATTGTAATAACAATAACAACAATGGTAGTAATAGTAATAATAGAAGTAGTAGTAGTAGTAGTAGTAGTAGTAGTAGTAGTAGTAGTAGTAGTAGTAGTAGTAGTAGTAGTAGTAGTAGTAGTAGTAGTAGTAGTAGTAGTAGTAGTAGTAGTAGTAGTAGTAGTAGTAGTAGTAGTAGTAGTAGTAGTAGTAGTAGTAGTAGTAGTAGTAGTAGTAGTAGTAGTAGTAGTAGTAGTAGTAGTAGTAGTAGTAGTAGTAGTAGTAGTCCAAGTAGTAACAACACAACAGTAATATAATAACAATAGCGACGAATGCGTGTAATAGGACAATTACGCGATCTTTCGTCGCTAGCCTTATAATTAATTGGTTTATTCCTCACAATTAGCAAGATCGATAGATCGAGAGAGAGAGAGAGAGAGAGAGAGAGAGAGAGAGAGAGAGAGAGAGAGAGAGAGAGAGAGTGTGGGTGCACGCGCGTGCATGTAACGTACGTGAAGCACGTGCTTAAATGGTGGGGAAAACGAGGTGTTTTCTAGTGCGCGCGCGCGCGCATCTCTGACGCCTGCGATCTCTTTGATGCTGCGCGCCGCTGGCTGCTGGCCTGCTTTTTCGTTTCTCATACAATCCATATGATGAGATGAGAGAATCTATTTAACTTACACACTTTGCAAACTTCTTGCGAAGTTCTTTCCGATCTTTTATCATTTCATTTTCCATTACAAACATCTTCGATTATAATAATAATATTATAATAACGTACCATTTCAACTAGGTATTTATTCGATTCTCTTGCCACTTTGTCGATCAAAAGTTTCCTCTCTCATCACCCATTATTATTCATTTAAAAATTTACAATCTTCCAAGAGAATCTTTGATAAAAGTGACAAGACTCTCGACTTGTCAATAACATAGTCAATAGCTCGTATAATGTACATTGCTCGTTTTGCGATTTTAAAAAAAAAAATTATTAAAAAATTATTTCACTCCCACACGTAAATTATTTTGACGTAGATATATACAGTATACACACACACACACACACACATATATATATAGTTATATAGTTGACGATAGGGTATATTTCTCTCACTTTTAGAAAATGTACAGCGTAAACGATCAAGTCAGATTCGTTCAACACTAATAATAATATAATCGATCAGCTCGAGTGAGTGAGAAAAGAACAAAGGAGGGGGAAGGTGTGAAAGATTAATAAAACATGTGCGTCGTCAAGAGTAGCGCGACGTTTCTAAAATGCGCGCTTTCTTTCCTTATGCCTTATGCCTACTATATTAGATCGCGCGTCTGATGTAATATCACTTGGTAAACTGTCAGATAGCACGTAGCAAAGCTTGTGGACGAAAAAAGTGTGGGAATCTAGAATAAACAATATACAACGACGAGATTTTTAATGCGTATTAAAATACACGCGTTATCGCTTAGATAAACGAAATTCAAATAAGCGAGCCGCTCTGTTTACGTATAACAGTTTCAAGTTTCATATTAGTACGCGCGCGCGTACGGCGTACTAATAAATTTTTGAAATAACTCGATGTAAAATAGACAATACTATTAAGTATTTTAATTATCTCTTCCAACTCGTTACATCTCGTCTACATACCAAATGAAAATTCGACAAAGGGTTACAACTGAATTTTCTTTCCAAAAAACTATAATCCGTATATATAAATGAAATCTTTGATTCGAGTATCTAAAATCTTGATCCAAAGTCTTGAAGAACATTTCTACTTTGACATTGAAACAATCGTCTCGTTATTCTGCCGTTATTAAGATATTTTTCAATAGTAATGAACTCAAGCCCAGCTTTGTAAAGCACAAACAAATTTCTTCATCGCGCGCGCGCGTTGACAATTTTCCCTATTCTTTTAATTTAACCAATCGACAGTAGAGTATGTATTCGTCATAGGTCATGCTCTTGGACGTGCCGTTCGAGTCGAGATCTATAGATCGAGCCATCGAGGATTGCACAGGCAATCCTCAATTTTCATCAATTTCTCAGTCACGCTGCATCATCGATGCAACGCCGTAAAGGCGTACCGAGTACGAAATAGTAATAGTAGTTAACGCTCGACTATATCGAATAAGAAAAGTCACGCGCTCTCTTCCACAAAACGCTCTTTAGCCCTCTTCTTGCCAACTTCTCGGTTGGATTGATAACATATTACACCGCACTTGTACTTGTATGTATGTAACGTGAGTCAGAGAATGTATATAGAGGCTCGACGGAGGCCTGTCGATCTCTCGGCCAATGGCAGGACAATTGATCGCTTACGTCGGCATCACCTCATAGGCGACGCATCGCATCATACCGGCGCGGCGCGGCGCGGCGTACGTACATGTCGCATATAAACGTAAATTTTCGGCAATCATGTGCGTATAATAAATCATCCAATTTCATCACTCCAATGCACACTCATCTAATTCCTCGCAAGCTTATACCATAACTGCCTAGTGT